TATTGTTAATATTAACATATTATACATTATATATAATATATTGCTTAGTATGTTACGTTATAACATATTAGCATATTATACCTGCATCTTGTAAGTAAATAAAACAAAAAAAAAAATTTGCCTTAAAAAACACTTTTAAAATAAAATTTTCTGTACGTCTCATAAAGTTTCCTTTCAAAAATAGGAAAAATAAAGTACTCTACAGGTGCCAGATGGACCTCCACATTGAAGGCTGAATTCACTATTCAGTACATGATCTACCATGTCTTTTAGTCACAGGAATTTTCACAGTCCCCCAGAATGTAACATGAACATTCTAATTGGAGATCCCATTCAAGAAGGTGTAACTAAGAATTTGCAATATTAAACCCTACAGATAACCCACCTATTTATTTTCTGAAGCCTTTTATAGTTTCATGCTGAATTATAAGTTTGACTCAAGGGGAAGTTCCAAATTCTTGTGCCTTTGGAGTTCTGCAGGCTATTGCTACATAAACCTCTGGGCTATCCACGCCTTTTCTGATACATGTCTGGCAAACTGCAAACTAAAGCAAGTTCTTTAGCCCAAAGATTGTGGTAACATTAAAACAAATCCAGCATGCTCTTCAAAACAGACTTGCTAAAAGGAAAAGAACAACACTTTGCTTTTCTAAAGCAAACAAACAATGTACATAGAGCCCATTGCCCATACATTCACGGAACGTCTCAAGCTCCCTTCAAGATCCCAGATTTGGTAATCTCTGCCTCTCCCTGGGCAAAGCAGGGAGTTCACAAGCATGCCACAAAATGGGCAACCTCCTACCACTCACTCACAGACACTTAAGGTACAGGATCCTTTGATCCTTTTTTCCAGAAAAAAAGAGGAGGTGGGGAAGAAATCTCACGCTTAACAGTTCTGTTTCCTTCTTATCTTCTGAATCACAAACCTTTTCTTCTCTTTCCATATCCTTCTCTATCATGTATAATGTTTCCTCTGATAGGCTTTATGTTTGCCATTGTTCAGTTCTGAAGCATTACCAAGCAACAAAAATGTTAAGATGCAGCAATGTTCTTTTTTCGGTGTAAACAATATGCATTTTCTAAGGTCTGCAAAAAGATTAAAAGTTGCATTAACTCTGAAAGTTAGCCTTCAAAAAATAAAGCCTTTCCCTTTACAAGATTCCAGAAATAAATACTAAAAAACCACGTCATTTTCTTATTATTTTCACTGGAGAGTTTCAGTGAGAATCAGAGACAGTCAACACTTCCCACTATTTCAACTTTGGCATATTTTTGCTTCCACTTCCTGAAAAGAGATTCCACTTTCCCCAAAGACTCACTTTCCTTCCCAAAGAGAGACAAGACAGCCAGTAACTATTCTGAAGTGGCTGAATTGTGAGCCTTCTATTAAGAACAAAAACGGTTTGGTGTTAGGAAAAGAAAAAAACTTGATAAACACAATTAGAAGAATATCATTATTAAATTACATGTGTCCTAAAAGTCACTGCTCTGTCTTATCTGCAAAACATCATATATATACACACAGAGCAGTGCCCAGTATTTGTAAGAGAGCACATCACATGCTATCACACAGAGGCACTCAAGTGTTCCTTCCCTATCACAGACCCAATCTACATGCCTATCAAGTGATGTTTTTCCAGCAATTACTTTCTGGTTGTACAACAGAGGAATTTCAGGGCTCTAAGACTATGAGATATAAAGCTAAAATTAAACCTGACCCTACATATCAAAGCCAGCATTGTAATTTCAAAGTTTAAAAGAAGCCAAGCTGTGATATGATAGGGTTAACAATCAGCTGGTCTACGTAGCAACAGCACTGCATATGCTCTAACTTAATGCCTTTTCATATGCCTCCATACTTGCTTGGACCTAACAACAATCATCTGTTTCATTCTTTAAGATCCTCATTTCATCTTAAATTCAGATTCTAAAGTATGTTCACTTACTCACTTGACCATAATAAATGCCTGTCCCTAACTCATTTAATACTTTTAAAGCAATCCAAGACCAAGTAATTGCAAATGCAAAGTGTAGCTGTGGGTTTACCTGCATTCACTTGATTTGAATTAGTCAGCTTGTTACCATGGGGTTCAAGTAACAGCTTCCAAAATATGAAAAGATACTCCCTTCTCAAAGAAGCCACTATTTCTACTACAATAGTAAATTCTTTCATTGCACTCTGGAGACTGACCTCTTTTTCATCTGCCAACTGACAACTACTTTCAATCTGAATTCTAAATTATTAAATTAGTCACAGAGCTAACAGCATCAAAGAAAGAACACAGATGAGGGAAACACTGGAATCTAAACAAATTGCACAATAAAAGATATTCATGACATAGAACATATTTAGGAACAACAAATATCCGCTGGCTCCAAATTCTAGTTCTTGTCTGTCCTCTCACTCTCTTTCCCAAAATGAAGCAAAATTAAATAATCATGCTGTATATGCTTTAAAGATGTGGTGGGTTGACCCTAGTCAGCAGCTAAACATCCAACAACCAGACTCAGTCCAAAAAAACCCTTGAACATCCAAAGTATCCTATACCTTCATATATTTTTGAATCAACAGAAGCTGACTGCAACTTTTCTCCTCAAATTATTGTATCTCTGTGCATTGTATAGACAAGTTCTGAACCAGTATCTGCATGCGTCTTGCATAGCAATGACACTATTGACACCTTCAGGAGTAGGAGTCTCCCAGGAGTACATGACAGAGCAGCTCCCTCCTCCACCCTCCTAGTGCTCCAGAAATAGACAAGTCATTGCTAGAAAGCATTTTTCAGAAAGCAGAGTTTTCTAAACACTGAATAAGGAGAAGAGAACAAGGAGGGGAGAAGCAACTTATTCCTACTAAACTGAATTTCAGAAGCTTGAAAGACAAACAAGGTTGAGAATTTTTTTACTGAAAGTGAGAATTGGTACTTCATACAGCTATATATATGATCAGGATTAAAATCAAAGTTGCTTATTATGCTACATTGTCTATTCCTCCAACTATCTTTAAATTATGACCCCTCAGGGATACGTGTTCTCTACCCTTATAATAGAAATATGGAAAAAAGAGACAATTATGTAAATATGTTGAGGAAATGGGGTACATTTATTTTCTCCTTACCTTTTCCTCTCTCACACTTAAATGTAGCAACACCTATCGGGACAACTTTGTTTTCCAACACCTCTTTTGCTTCTTCTTGAAAGAAGGAAACAACAGTCCCTTCGGTTTCTGTACCTATCAAGGGACCGCCTTTTTTTTTTTTTCCTTCCCTCCTCCTCCTCCTCCCCCCGCCAAGCAGCGGGGACAGCCGAGCTCCTCTGGGGCAGCTCCCAGGACCGAGGGCCAGCGGGGCGGGCGGCACAGCCACACCGAGCAGAGCCAGCCCCACCGCCCGCCTTCCACACCGGCCCACTCCAGAATGTCACCCGGCCAGCCGCCCTCCCAAACTTCGGCAGCGAACGGCATCGTACGCTTACTCTCACTTCATCATGGAGAAAAAGATGATGACAGAAAAGGAATGAAGGGCATGGGTTAACAGCGCCTTCATTGTTAATCAATACGGAGAATAGACATTCTGATTATGTTTTATACGCTCTTCTAAACTGACGTTAAAATTTAGATTTACTGCAGTGTTCAAGTTGCCTGGAAACTTCTGAGAAGCAGAGAATCCCTACTAAAAAGAAATAAAGCTCTTCCCCAACACAACAACGGACAATGGAGGATTTCTGTTGTATCTTTAAAGGTCACACATATTTCACACGTTGAACTACTTCTCCGGAGGGTCGTCAAGTAACTGCGGAGCTACGAGAAGATTCATGGGCTGAAAATCCAGATAACTCTGTGGTTACGTGTTGGCACATTCCCCTCCCTACAATTCCGGCATTTCACCGAGGTCAGAGAAAAGCTGTCACATAAAACGACTTCATTTGGGACTGGAACAAACCGGGCCCCCCAACACAGCCATTGAAGTCGATCAAACACACAACTTACAAAAAAAATAAGAGAGCCTGGCTACCCTTTATGTCCTTCAAAAGCGTCTAATACCACCAGGAAGTGGGACAGGGGAGCCAGGCATGGAGCAGAAGTCGAAGTGAACTACTTTTTTCAGAAATAAGAGAAGGCCCCCTCCCCGCCCTCATCGTACGCGCTCCTGCCCTTACAATCCAGCTCATCCTCATTTTGCCCCCGCCACTGAGATTTCCCTACCGCTCCCAGCCAACTCTCGGAGCTCCCTGCCCGGGCCGCCCGTGCCCCTCCGCCCCCGCGCGACCCCCGGGCCCGCCCGCTCACCGTTCCTCAGCTCGTGCTTCACCGTGAGGAGCGGCAGCTCCGCTTCCCCCGAGGCTCCCTCCATGTCCTCGCGGGCGGCTCCCCCGCCCTGCCGCTCCCGTGAGCGCGAGCGCGGCGGCGGGGGATGTCACCTGGCCCGAGACGGGTTCTATTTTCCAGGGGCGCTCCGGGGCAGAGGAGCCATGCAGGCGCGCTGGGGTCTGCCGCGCTCCCCTCCGCCTTGCAGGAAAACGGGGTGGGGGGGGGGTGGGAGGTGAGAAAACCCCAAACCTACACCACCCAACAACAAACAGTTATTAAAATCGAGGGAGGCACACGCACGACGGCTTCCCTCCCCCGGCGCTCAGCACCAGCCCATGTCCTTGCGCCTCCCCTCCCCCGGGCTCCGGCCGCCCTCCCCGCCCGACAGCGGGGAGCGGAGCGGAGCGGAGCGCGGCCGGGATAGGCTGGGCGGCGCGCGGGGAGCGGCTCCGACTCAGGCGCTCGCGCCCCCTCCCTCCCCGGGCCGGGCGCTCATTGGCCGCGCGCGCCCGCGAGCCCCG